GAGTACACTTGAGAGTTCTGAAAACCTTTTGTGATTGCTGCACAATTGGTTTTTTTGATCGTTGTATCCTGGAGGTGATTGTCCACAGAGGTCGCAGCAGTTATCGACGGGCAATTTGGCTTTAGGACATCGTGCTGTCACGAGACTCGATCTATTGATAAGTTTTTCTACACTTTACTGTTATTTTATCCAACAATACATATATTTTCTAGCTACTTATTATCTAGTGAATATTAGTAAGATTAGTTATAAACTTGCCCTGTTCGTCTGGTTTTAATATTTTAATAACCTTTCAATTAGTTGTTTGGAGTCGAATAAAGTTAGCAATGAATTTTTTAGTGCAACCCGAACTGAATCAATATCAAACCACAAAACTAGTGCGGTTCAGTTCCAGTTAATGTTATCTGGTTTTGATTATTAGAATCGGAAAGTGACAGTTCTCGTCTGATTGTGACTAATTTTAGGTTTGAACTCTCTTTTTCAATAAAATATCTCAATTGGTCAACCATGAATTGTATTACAAACAAATTTACCTGAATTAATTGTATTCAAAATAATTGGATAAAAAGTATATTTGAGCCGTTTAAATTAGTCTAGATTTTGTCAAACATGTACGTAAGATGTCAAAAATGTATCTAGATTTTGTTAAATGCTTGTGGTGTATCTCTGGCATTAGGGGACGATCACGGGCGCTCCGACGCTGAAATCAGTCAATCATGAAATAATTTTTTGGGTGTGTGACACACAATGGATTTGAGTAATAGATTTCGGATTTAAAAGAAAATACCAAGCAATATACTATAGATATGTGTAGTTGCATTACTTTTAGAAGGCACTAAGTGTAAGATTTTATTTAGAAATAAAGAATTAGTGTCCATTGGATGTATGTCACGTGGCATCATCCCAATGGCTCACGGATTAGACTTGCCAGGTGTCAATCCCAACTGTTCCAGGCCTATTATGACCTTCGAATAAAAAAGGAACTCACTAGGCCTTCAGAACAAAGGCGTTCCCATTCAGTACAAATTAAAGATAAAGAAGTGAGGAATCCTCTTTTTAATTCTAACTCTCCCACTCCATACTATTTTCATTTCTATTCAAATTTAAAAGAAGTAATTTGCTTCCTAGGCCTACGACTAAAGTAGATTGAAAAGTTGACTGATAGAATTAATTGTAAAGTTGCCAAATCAAGTTCAAAGTATCTTCATATAGAAGATCTCTATTCTGAACGTTGTCCATGGGGGATGCCTTGTGAAGCAAAGGCTAGACGTTTCGAAAATACATTGTAGTAACTTGTATTGCCTCAGCTGGGGCATCACACTTTGGATGGGGGTGGTTGCTTCGGTCGAGGTGCCTTAGTCCCCTCACTCATCTGCGTCATCGCTTCGTTCTAGAGTTGGGAGGGCAAGGTGACATAGAGTGCGAGCCTTTAGAAGCTCTTTTCTTTTTCTTAGATGGTGGTTATGTCATGCTCATTGAACGAGACGTAATAACTTTTAAATAAAAAAAAAGGATAATCTGAATATTCAATTTTTTGCCTTGTTGTTAATTGGTACGTCCATTCCCAATAACAGCTAAAGGTTAAATCGGAAAATAACATTATTATTTTTTCTCTTCAAAACTACAAAAACTTTTCAAGAGGGATTGTTGACTAAAATGTGATCAAATAATTGAGGTAGTGGCAGTACACATAATTTGCCCTAAAGTTCATTGTTGAGTTTGTCCTTTTATCCGATGGGTACTTTGTGTTTCTATTTAGGACAACAAGGATACATAGAAGAAAGACATGACCCTAACTAGGAGAAATCAAGACCGTCAGAATTCTGCTCTTAATTTCAGCTAACAGAGGCATATGTCTGTCCTTTTTATTTCCCTCTTTAACTCTTTTTTCTCACACTTTTCATGTATTTATACTATTTATCTATATATATTTACCTCTTCATTTCTTTCTCCCCAACCACACTTAATTTGACCCACTCGCTTCATCAAATTTCACCAGTTCTTGATATTTTTTTTAAAACCAACATGCAGATAGTGGTGGAAGAGTCATCAATGGGGAGCACTGAAGAATCCGGGGCGGTGGCGAAAATGAAGAAAGTATATGAGAAGGTGAGTCTACTGGTAACTAGCAACGCGGTGGTGGTTTTTACGATAAGTGGCTGCTGCATGTGCCATGTGGTGAAGCAGCTTCTCTTTGGCCTCGGAGTTGGACCGACTATAGTTGAACTTGATCGCGATGCCAGTGGCCATGACATCCACCGCCTGCTCTTCCAGCAACAGCCGGTTCCGGCTGTGTTTGTTGGCGGGAAATTCTTAGGTGGGATCGAGACTGTCATGGCTTGTCATATTAACGGCACCCTTGTTCCTCTTCTCAAGGAAGCTGGAGCTCTCTGGCTTTGAATGGAAAATTTTCATCTGATAATCATGACTGTAACATTGATCTAACATCACTTCTATTAATTAGTCCATTACCATATCTGTCTTTTTATACTGTATGGAACAAAAATGCTTGAGAATCATGAATTATATATATCAAAAAATGTAGTACTCGAAGATGCTTCCAATTATGGAGAACTAGCAATTCCTTAATTACTTTTAGAGTTTATTTTGATCATTGATTGATTTTGGTTGTTGTTTACTATCTCTCTGTGTGTGTGTGTGTCTCTCTCTCTCTCTATATATATAGTGTTGGGGGTTCGAATCCCTCCTTGCTCACAACCGGCCCAAAAGGGAAGTATCTTTCCCTCTGGAGGTAGGAAAATCATGATCGGGATATTGGACCAAAAGCTATGGAACTTGGGTGTGAGTCTTGGGAATGAATTTTTCTTTTGATGAATTAAATTATAAAGAAAATAATGGAAGAGTAAAAAAGCATCACAAAAAGTCATGAAAATGTTCCCACATCTTTAATTAACATTCTGGAATTCACTTGATAAAGGGTATATTGTGGATCGGTTCAGCAAACATTAATTTATTACATGTGTGATATACATTTGTTAAAAATATATTTTGTGAAAAGTAACTTTTTTTTATTTTAAAGAATGCGTGTTTCAAAGATATAGAATATTTATGATTCCACTTGTAAAATTAATTTATTATTTGAATGTGTAATTGAAAATGAATTAAAGAAAAATGAATTTAAGGAGAATGTACCAAACATGACCGTATTCATTATGTATATCAAAAGCGATTCTCAAATGATATGCACATAATCAAGAGAGAAAAAGAAAAAACGATAAGAAAAACTAATCTTAATCGAGCTTAATTTATTGCCACTTTAAAGAACATTACTTCCTCTAAAACAAAATTAAACTAAACCCATAATTTAGGAAACCAATATTTATACGAAAAAGGAATAAAAGAAAGCTAAAAGCATATATAGAGGTGCAATGTTCAAGGCTTAGGCAACAACTCAAGTCATATTTTGTTAAAAAAATTAGTATATTTTGTCCTTTTTTGGTTAATCACACATTTTACAAAATTCACAAATTTCCGACCACACATTTCATTAATTTTTATGAAAATCTACTAAAATTCTAATTTTAATCTATACCAAACAAGACCGTCAGACGAAGCACCTCACATCACCCTTGAACAAAAAGCAGCGCCAGCACATATAAAATGGGCCCCACATGCAAATAGTACTTCCAATATCGCAACGGTAAAAATTCGCAGTGAGAAGAAGAATAGTATTAGTCACTCGACCCCCTGTCCAGTGTGTGTGTGTGTCTGTGAGAGAGAGGGAGAGAGAGAGAGAGAGGGGGAGGGAGGAAGGAATCGCATGGGAAAAGCTCACTCTCTCACTTAGATCAGTACGTACTTTGTTTTCATTATGCATGAATCAAGCATGCAGGAAGAGAGACAAAGAGGTCTGTTATGGCCGAAAATGGTAAAAACCGACAAGGGACAGCCCGACAAGTAGCGTTTAACGCGCCGTCGTTTGATGCTCAGAACATTTTAAATGACTTTCGTCTCTATCTGCACTCAGGGATAGAACACATCCGACATTAACGCCGTCTCAGTATTTATCTTCTTTTACTTTCTTGGGTAAATAAAAAAGACCTTTTGCTTTTACCTTTTGTTTGTATTTTATATGAAAAGTAAAATTCTATACTTATACGTAAGAATTATTGCCGCAGAGATACAAGAATCATTTACATATAGCAATTAATTTAGGATACTTTAAATGGCTATCTATACAACTAAAAATCTTGTTTGGGAAAATTTTAAAGGGAACAAACAATCAAACTAAGGAAAAAAAGTACAATTAATTGCAAAAGAATTTGGAGTGTCAACGTGGTCTCATTGAAAAATCTTGTCAAAAAAATCCAACGGGAAAAACATGAGCAAATAAAAAAGAGTATAGCTACTTTCTTTGATATCATCGTAAATTTTTGAGTCGAAACATTTTCATGTCATGTACTAATGTAGATGCCAAGAATACTTGCGTAAATAAGTTGACTACATTATCACTTGAACAAATTTGTTAAACATCGATATCACTAGTCTTCTGAAGCTCATAATATATTGAAGAATTTTGAAGAAATATAATGTATTTTGTCGTGTTCGATTATAGCTTTCCATGAGTTGTATAATACAAGATGTATTGTCTTCAGACAATATTATTGGAATACTCTTTGTTGAAACAAATTCGCATGATATTTGAATATAATGAATCATGTTTTTCAACCATACACATTCTCAACTTGCTTTATTGATTGCAATAATTTTAGAATGATTTGAAAATATTGTTGTCAATGTTTGTTTCATAAATCTCCATGGACCATAATACATTCCTCCATGCATATACACATGTCATGTTTGTAATTTAGCTTTATGTGGAACAAAAAGTTACAATAATGTGCATAACCTAGTAAAGAAGAACCTAATTTTGGTGATTAAAATAACTCATATAAATGATTCCTCTTAGGTAACGAAAATGTGTTTAAGACCTTTCAAATATTTTGTGTTAGTGAAGAGTTATATCATGTAAGCAGATTTAATAAAAACTATATCTAATCGAGTGCAATTTGCAAGATTGGTTAATGCTCCAATTGATTTTAGGTATGGTAGATACTTCATGACCAAGAATATTTTATTTATCTTCAAATAGATGAAATGGATCATTTTACACATCAAGTAATCCAACGATAATAGGCAATGCCAATTAATGTGCTTTATTTATATAACATTTTAATACTTCTAATGTATACGAAAACTGATGAAAAAATAATTATTCTAGGAAATGTTCAACTAGCAACTCAAAGACATTTTATTTTTTTCTCAAATCTTTCATCTCAAATTTTTTTTTCTTCAAATAATCTACATTTATGTTGAGCTTTTTAAGAGTTCTAACATAATTTAAATTATCAACATTAACTTTTACAATTGTAAATCCAATATTTATTTTATTTATGAAAATACATGGATCGACATCATCATTTTTGTAATCCCCTTCCAAAGTATTCACTAAGGCGATTATCACATACATCCAAATTGTTTCAATTCGTAATTATATTTACAATTTAATTGAGAACGTAATTTTGGAGTATATATCATTTACGTCTGGCACTTTAAGTCCTTCACGAATTTTTGCGTATATGACACTATAATTGAATCATACATATTACATCCATAAGGTGCATGTTAAGCCTTTTTGACATGGTCTAACTAATTAAAAATCTAAATATTATGGTGTCCATTACATGAGAATACATTTTTCTCATGATCGATTTCATGTCTTTAAGAGAAACCTTAAGCTATGAATTGAATTTTGTATATAATAATTTTTCTTTTTTCATTTCTTTTTCTTAGAAAAATAACTTGTATCTTACATGGATTACACTTTCAAGGCTCAAACTATATATCCAAACATTGTACATTTTTAAAGGAATTCAACTCTGTCTATATGGTTCCTTTTAATTTTCAACCAATATTGAAGCAAAGGGTTAACACCTTTGGAGGGAAATTATTTTCATTAACTTGAAAAGTAATACAGCATCTCCAGATTAAATAGAGGAGAAGTGAAAGAAAATAGGTGGGAAGAATAATCCAGCTGGCATAACTAATCTCTAGCTGGAAATGAAAGAAAAACAGATTTTAACTAATCTAACTAACCTTCTAATTACAGCAATAAAATGAAAATTAGTTCTAATACTCCCCCTCAAGATGTGCATAAATATTCTTTATGCACATCTTGGAAAGGAGGTGAGACAGAGTGGAAAGAGGTAAGGGTTTGGTAAACAAATCCGCTAGTTGATGCCTGGAACGGATTGGAAGCAACTTGATCACCCTCGAATTAATCTTGTCACGAATGAAGTGACAATCAACTTCTATATGTTTCGTTCGTTCGTGAAAAAGGGGATTGGTGGCAATCTGAATTGCAGCTGGTTATCACAGTAAAGGGTAGCTGGAGCTAAGGAACAAACTTGAAAGTCCTTCAACAATTGTCGGAGCCACATGATCTCACTTACTGTTGAAGCAAGTGCCCTGTATTCGGCCTCTGCTGAAGATCGAGATACAGTAGGCTGTTTCTTGGATTTCCATGATACCAAGGAGTTCCCAACAAAAACACAAAATCCAGTAGTGGATTTTCGAGTATCAATACAAGTGCCCCAATCAGCATCTAAAAATGCTCTAATATTAAGGGATTGATCTGAGCCAATGTGTGAGGGGAAGAGAAGGCCTTGTCCAGGCTGACCTTTTAAGTAACGTAGTAGGTGATGTACAGCTTTAAGGTGTGTCATTCGTGGTTGAGAAACATATTGACTCAATTTGTGCAGAATAAATGTGATGTTAGGACAAGACAAAGTCAGATAAAGAAGTTTCCCAACCAATCTCCTGTAATGAGAGACATCAAGTAGCAGATCTGCCTCATGTTAGCTGAGAGCAACTTTTGGATCCATGGGGCTGCCAATTGGCTTGCAGTCCAGATAGTTAGCATCCTCAAGCAGCTGTAGTGTATACTATCTCTGTGATATCACAATGCCTAAAGTAGATCTGGCAACTTCAATGCCCAAGAAGTATTTCAAAGAACCAAGGTCTTTAAGCTTGAACTGAGAATGCAAGAAAGTTTTCAAGGAGTTGATCACCTCCATATTTGGTCCAGTTATCACAATATCATCCACATAGACCAATAGAGTTACAAAGGATTGTCCTGACCCTTTAAAAAAAAAAAGGAATAATCTGCCTTTGACTGAGAAAAGCCATGCTTTATGAGGGCTTGAGTGAATTTAGAATTCCATTGTCTAGAGGCCTGCTTCAGGCCATAAATTGATTTCTACAACCTGCAGATTAACTTCTCCTCCTGTTTGGATGGCCTAAGCAAATCATAACCTAATGGAAGGTCCATATATACCTTCTCAAACAAGCCCCCATTCAAAAAAGCATTGTTCACATCA